CGCAGCGCCACTGCCCTCCACCGTCCCGGGAGCGGATCCCGCCCCGCGCCACCCGCGATCGGCGCCAGCCCCACGGTAGTTACGAGAACTAATGATAACTTATTAATAGTGACAAAGTAGAGGTTGACCAGGAAAGCCTCCGTGTGCTTCCCAATCCTGTGGGCAGTAAAGCGGTACATTTTGGGTTCCCTCCAGGAAAGAGTTATTTTCTTTCCTGTCACTTCTGATGAGGCGACCGAACGCCTAGTTTAGCGAAGACGGAATTAAAGTCCAGAATGAGCCTGCCTCTGCGTCTCCCGTGGCACAAGCCCTTTCTTGCCCACCTGAGTCCTAACACCGGATGCCTTTTGGTCCGGCCTTCCCGGGTGTCTTGTTCCTCTGTCTTCCCTGCCTCCCTCTCCCGCCTCTCCTCAGCACACAGATCCAGAATCCCTATCTAATTCTACTAGACAATAGGGAGAAAGTTCAACCACGAAACATCTCTAACTTTGGGTTCTTAATGATTCTTAGAAAATGAATAGGTTATAAACATATTTACTCACTCTTCACTCCGGAGAGCTCCTTAGTCATGTGAAAAAAGTGAAATGTATCCACGATGACAGTGGGCTGTTTGTTCACTCACTAAAGAGATAAGGGTGGATTGAATTCTGTTCTCTTCCCTGCTAACATGTAACTTTTGTCTTCCCATCCCTCTTTCCCCGCTGTCCTTTCCAGAAAGGCACTTGGGGTCTTATCTGTTGGACTGTGAAAACACTTCAGGCTCCCTTCCAAGCCTCCCCCAAACCCCTAAGCAGCCGCAGAAGCGCTCTCGAGCTGCTTTCTCCCACACTCAGGTGATCGAGTTGGAGAGGAAGTTCAGCCATCAGAAGTACCTGTCGGCCCCTGAACGGGCCCACCTGGCCAAGAACCTCAAGCTCACGGAGACCCAAGTGAAGATATGGTTCCAGAACAGACGCTATAAGACTAAGCGAAAGCAGCTCTCCTCGGAGCTGGGAGACTTGGAGAAGCACTCCTCTTTGCCGGCTCTGAAAGAGGAGGCCTTCTCCCGGGCCTCCCTGGTCTCCTTGTATAACAACTATCCTTACTACCCATACCTGTACTGCGTGGGCAGCTGGAGCCCAGCTTTTTGGTAATGCCAGCTCAGGTGACAACCATGTATGATCAAAAACTGCTTTCCCCAGGGTGTGTCTATGAAAAGCACAAGGGGCAAAGGTCAGGGAGCAAGAGGTGTGCACAACGAAGCTATTGGAGATTTCTGTGGAAATCTCACATCTTCACTACTGAGACAATGAAACAACAGAGACAGTGAACGTTTTAATATCTAAGTCTGTCCCCCAGTGCATACTGTAGGTCATTTTTTTGCTTCTGGCTACCTGTTTGAAGGGGAGAGAGGGAAAATCAAGTGCTGTTTTCAGCTCTTTGCATGATTTTGGATGAACTGTACACCTGAGGATTCTGTTCTACAACTCCATCCTCCTGTGTCACTGAATATCAACTCTGAAAGAGCAAACCTAACGGGAGAAAGGACAGCCAGGACGAGGATGTCACCAACTGAATTAAACTTAAGTCCAGAAGCCTCCTTTTGGCCTTGGAATATGGCCAAGGCTCTCTCTGTCCCTGTAAAAGAGTGGGGCAAATAGAGGGTCTCCAAGAGAACGCCCTCATGCTTAGCACACATTTGCATGGGAGGGGGAGATGGGTGGGAGGAGATGAAAATATCAGCTTCTTCTTATTCCTTTTTATTCCTTTTAAAATGGTATGCCAACTTAAGTATTTACAGAGTGGCCCAAATAGAACAAGATGCACTGGCTGTGATTTTAAGACAAGCTGTATAAACAGAACTCCACTGCAAGAGGTGGGGCCGTGCCAGGAGAATCTCCGCATGTCCAAGACAGGGGCCTAAGGAGGGTCTCCACACTGCTGCTCGGGACTGTAGCGTTTTTTGTTAGCAGAAAGTGGAAAGGACTCTCCTCAACTTTTTTCTCCCGAACTGGAGAATTTAGAATCAGAAGTTTCCTGGAGTTTTCAGGCTATCATATATACTGTATCCTCAGAGGCAACATATTTCTTCCTTCCCTCCTTTTACAATTTTTTGTTCCTTTTTTGCAGCAATTACTCACTAAAGGGCTTCATTTTAGTCCAGACTTTTAGTCTGGCTGCACCTAACTTATGCCTCACGTATTTAGCCCGAGATCCCGAGATCTGGTCTCTTTTATTTTTTTTTTAATTTTTTTTCCTCTCCCCAAAGCTTTATCTGTCTTGAGTTTTTAAAAAAGGTTGGGGGCAGATTCTGAATTGGCTAAAAGACATGCATTTTTAAAACTAGCAACTCTTATTTCTTTCCTTTAAAAATATATAGCATTAAATCCCAAATCCTTTTTAAATACCTGACAGCTTGAGAAGGTCACTGCTACATTTATAGGACCTTCTGGTGGTTCTGCTGTTACGTTTGAAGTCTGACAATCCTTGAGAATCTTTGCATGCAGAGGAGGTAAGAGGTATTGGATTTTCATAGAGAAGGAAGAACACAGTGCAGAATGAAGGGCCAGGCTCACTGAGCTGTCCAGTGGAGGGCTCATGGGCGGGGTCATGGAAAAGAAGGCAGTCTAGGCCCTGGGGAGCCCAGTTCACTGAGCAAACAAGGGACCGAGTGAGCCTTTTGCAGGAAAAGGCTAAGAAAAGGGAAACCCATTTTAAAACACAGCAAGAAACTGTCCGAACGCTTTGGGAACTGTGTTTATTGCCTATAATAGGTCCCCAAAATGGGTAACCTAGACTTCAGAGAGAATGAGCAGAGAGCAAAGGAGAAATCTGGCTGTCCTTCCACTTTCATTCTGTTATCTCAGGTGACCAGGTAGAGGGGAGACATTAGAAAAACATGAAACAACAAAACAATTACTAATGAGGTATGCTGAGACCTGGGAGTCTCTTGATTCCACTAGTTAATTCCATTTAGTGAGAAACCTTTCAATTTTCTTTTATTAAAAGGGCCAATCTACTGTTGGTGGCAAAATTGCCAACATAAGTTGATAGAAAGTTGGCCAATTTCACCCCATTTTCAGTGGTTTGGGCTCCACACTGAAATATTCAATGCCATGTACTGCTGACACCCACCGGAGTACTAGCCAGCACAAAAGGCAGGGTAGCCTGAATTGCTTTCTGCTCTTTACATTTCTTTTAAAATAAGCATATAGTGCTCAGTCCCTACTGAGTACTCTTTCTCTCCCCTCCTCTGAATTTAATTCTTTCAACTTGCAATTTGCAAGGATTACACATTTCACTGTGATGTATATTGTGTTGCAGAAAAGAAAAAAAAAGTGTCTTGGTTAAAATTATTTGGTTTGTGAATCCATCTTGCTTTTTCCCCGTTGGAACTAGTCATTAACCCATCTCTGAACTGGCAGAAAAACATTTGAAGAGCTAGTCTATCAGCATCTGACAGGGGAACTGGATGGTTCTCAGAACCATTTCACCCAGACAGCCTGTTTCTATCCTGTTTAATAAATTAGTTTAGGTTCTCTACATGCATAACAAACCATGCTCCAGTCTGTAACATAAAAGTCTGTGACTTGAAGTTTAGTCAGCACCCCCACCAAACTTTATTTTTCTATGTGTTTTTTGCAACATATGAGTGTTTTGAAAATAAAGTACCCGTGTCTTTATTAGATGTATCTGTGTGTGATTTTCAGTTTCCCAAAAATTACATGCTGTGTAACTTAGATATTTCTAATTACCATATCCTCTTGCCCTCGTCCACCTGACACACCAGTTGCAACCTATGGTGATCGAAAGTCTCAGCCTACCCAGTAGCTGATGATGGCCATCCTTTTATAAATGCACTGTCCTTCATTCCTGTTAAAGTCATGGGGAGAGGAAGGCCTTTTCTCTCTTCAGTTTAATAATCAACTGTTCCACTATTCACAATAGCAACATCATGGGCTGAACCTACGTGTCCATCAACAGATGATTAGATTTTAAAATGCGGTGCATATATACCATGGAATACATATGCAACCATCAAAAATAATGAAATCACATCCTTTGCAGCAATATGGATGGAACTAGAGGCCATTATCATAAGTGAAATGACTCAGAGACAGAAAGTCAGAAACGGCATGTTCTCATTTGGAAATGGGAGCTAAACGATGGGTGCCCATGGACATACAGAGTGGAATAAGAGACACTGAAGGTTCCAAAATGTTGGAGGGTGGGAGGAAAGTGAGGGATGAAAAATGACTAGGTACAGTATTCACTATTCAGGCAATGAGTACTAAAATTCCAGACTTCACCACTGTGCAATAGATCCATGCAACACAACTGCACTCGTACCCCCGATCCTATAAACATAAAAATAAAAAAATTTAAATAATCACCTACTCCAGCCAAGGAATACCTTTTGTTTAAAAAAAGATAACCAAGTATTTACTTACTTTCTTGAAGACCTTAAAGGGAACACAAAGACTACAGCAATCCTTCTTTAAAAGTTCCCCTTTGGCCAGGCGCGGTGGCTCATGCCTGTAATCCCAGCACTTTGGGAGACCAAGGCGGGCGAATCACCTGAGGTCAGGAGTTCGAGACCAACCTGGCCAACCTGGTTAAAAAAACCCTGTCTCTACTAAAAAGACAAAAATTAGCTGGGTGTAGTGGCACACGCCTGTAATCCCAGCTACTCTGGAGGCTGAGACAGGAGAATCGCTTGAACCCGAGAGGCGGAGGTTGCAGTGAACTGAGATCATGCCACTGTGCTCCAGCCTGGGTGACAGAGCAAGATTCTGTCTCAAAAAAAAAAAAAAAAAAAAAAAACCCTTTTATGTTCCACTAGCCCCTCATGCTATAACTTCCCTGGCTCCTGCATCTCCCAAAAAATGTCACCTTCATCCAGAGCTGACAGACCTCTTGCAAGTGACGCCTTTGAACTGGAATCACAAGTATGAAAAATAGGTTTTATTAATGTGTTAAAATAAAACATAAACAACACATCCTTCATCTCCCTGCACTTAAACCTTCATTAAATCCCACAAGAGGAGAATCCCATTCACCTGATTACCTTCAAGAATTGACGGTTTCTTCCTCCCTCCTTCAAGGAAACAGAAGCTTAAAGAGTAAGGTGCCTACTCTAAAGAAAATATATCATAATTTCAAACTTTGCTCTAATCCTTTAAGCACATGTACACACAGGTGGGGCTTCTCTTGGCATGCTCACATCATAAGATTTACCTCTTTGCACAAATCTGTAATCATCCTCTCCTTGCCTGGAAGGCCAAGAGCTCTCAAATTACAAAGACACTTGCAGTCAATTAACAGATGTAGATTTTAACACGTCGAAACCCCGTCTCTACTAAAAATACAAAAAAAAAAATAGCCGGGCATGGTGGTGGGCGCCTGTAGTCCCAGCTACTCGGGAGGCTGAGGCAGGAGAATGGCGTGAACCCGGGAGGCAGAGCTTGCAGTGAGCCGGGATCGCGCCACTGCACTCACTCCAGCTTGGGCAACAGAGTGAGACTCCCTCTCAAAAAATAAATAAATAAATAAAAATACCTAATCCAGGAAATTAAATAAAAATCTACCATCCCTTAAGAAAGTACTCTTCTCCCTCCTTTTTGTCCCTTTTCCCACTTTCTTTCAATATCTCTGCTAATCTCACACCCCTCTTCTTCTAGCAACTCCCCTTAACATGCCATCCAGCAATCCCAGTTAGCATGCCACATTTTCGTGACATCTAGAATTTCTCTTCAATTTGTCTCTCAAGTTACTTCTGGTGAAAGTTTCTAGAGCCACTGCAGCTTTGTCATCTGTGGTCCCATTGGTTCTCCCCAAGCGTCCTTAGGAAGGCCAACCATAGCTGTGAGAGGGGAAATGAATGTCAGAGGCTTGCATCTAACAACAATGTTTTCCTTCTATCAAAGCAAATTACTGTTGTAGGGTGATGTTAATTTCACACATCTTAAAGCTGACCTTGAAGAAAACAGTGGCCATTATGAGAAAGTTACTTAGCTTAGGTGCCCGGGAAACAGCTCCAGTTGTTGGGAAATTGCACCCAGAAGCTTTCTTGAGAGGGTGCTCGGGACACATCTGGGAGGAAGTGAGGAAGGCAGGGTTGAGGAGAAGGGGAACGTGACTTTTAAGACGGCTGCGACTGAGGCCTCACCCAATACCTTAAGAAGCTCCAAAACCACTGTGCACCAAATTGAGGATTGTAGGCTGGACATTTGTATCCCAGCATCAGCTGCCTCCTGAAAATGAGAATAACCTTGGGCAATGTAGTCCTGTCTGTGTTAGGCGATGGCCATCGAGGGACCCAGCTGTGATT